GTAAGGTTCCAGCACATTACCCTGATCCAGGAAATCCTGGCCACTACATGAACATGTTCAAGACTCCGAATACGCTGAATGATGGACAACAACAACCTGTTGATAATTTCACCCCTAGAGCCAATTTAAAATGTTTTAAAGACGGTGCCATTTCATCTGGCGCTAGTGAGGTGAAAGAAGCAGCAGATCGGTAGTTTTGTTGAGGAGAAGCACATGCTTGAGTATATCAGACATCTTGAGGAAATGCAAATTGTATCTATGATAAGAGAGAATTCCGGATTGTACTCCTTCGATTCCGAATTCTAGAGGGGGGGGGGCATTGAAAATTTTAAAAACTTGGAGGGGGGGCATCGAAATTTACCGATAACCTCAACAGGGGCCCTGTAAAAATATGAGCGTTTTCCAAGACATCTTCATCCCCCTCCCTCGGTGTAATAAATGTACTTTCCCTTACACCTGATAATTTTAGGGTGACAACAAAATGGCGTCCGAAACTTTAAATCGGGGGACGCGAAGAGTGCTTTCAAAACTTGAGAAATCTATCGAAGATGGCGACCATTATGAAGCTCATCAAATGATAAGAACATTGTACTTTAGGTGGGACATTTCTGGCCGCTGTAATATTTCTAGATCGCGGTTTCTTTGGGTTAAATTGGACTCCATTTATAACCTGTATTTTTGTTTATTAAGCACTTTTGTTTATGTTTGGCGTGTTGTACGTAATACGCAGGGAGAAGTGTGTTACAGTAATATGTACAATTTCCGACATGATCGTATAATACTCGAGATAGTTTTAGATCTGATTAAGTATAACGTCTATATAAATAACAACAGCCGCAAAAATAGTTAGGTGGAATATTACCGAATATATACTTGGAAACATGATTCAAATTCAAAACAGCAAGTCAGAAACAGTTTATCTCAAAACTAGACAATCAAATGGCTGGCCTGTTGTAATACCTAATCAGGCTATTCAAATTGTACCAACAAGGCCGGCGAGAGCCAACCACGGGCCCCCGGTACAAAATGATGATTTGTGAACACGGGCCCCTGTCCCTCTGGAAATTGCCGATGATAAACAATATACGAACATTTTACCGAGATTTCCGGGCCCCTCTGAGCACACCAGCCCACAGGTATTTTGCCCCCTCCCCCCCTCCTCTTGCCGGCCTTGTGTACAAATGCCTTATTCATGAACTCATAAATCCTGATTGGTAAGTTTTGTAATTGGAACTTTCCACAATGGAAGTCATTGAATTTTAACCAGTTAGGTGACTTGGGTCATGGTGACTGGACTCTGTAGCTTAGTGGTGAGAGTGCACTGCAATGGTAGCACTGCAGGTTCGATTCCTGCTGAAGGCCTTGCTATAGTTGTATTTTCCACAACTTCTTCCAGCTGGGTCAGAAATATGAATGTATATTTTTTCACCAAATTTCCACCCATGAAAACTATAATAATGATTGAAGGAAATAAATGTGTTTTTTCTTTGTACTAGGTACATGAATCAGACTAAACATTCTGATGCGCTTGTCTTAGTTTATGATGGAGCCACAATGCTACTTCAACATGACCAGGTCATATTATGCAACTTTCACTTTCAAAATACCAATTCCACATTGCTTTAAATACTATTTTTTTTATTATTATTCAGGAAGAAAGTGGATTGGATTTATGCCAACTAATGTTGAAATGTTTTGAAGAGAGTTATTATCCAGTAAATGACGACGCATTAGGTATAATAATTATTGCCATGCAGTTGAAGAATGACCCAAACATTTACACTTGTTGGGTTAAGTAACAATTTATAATCTTGCTTTATATTTATTTCAGATAAAATAAGTGCACATTTTCAACTGTTTAAGCCTTGTTCTCCAAACAGACGATTGTTTATTGATGCTGCATTGAGGTATTTTGAGTGTAGAAAAATATCAAATGTAAGTCAAGTATAACAAAAATTGTGTGCCTGCAGCTTGATATAGAAGACATAAAGATGAGTAATTATTTTCTATGTAGTTGGACGGCAAAGAAAAACACGGAATGGGTATTTGGACATCCAAAACTGAATCTGTTATGTGCAGAAACGTATTGGAAAGGTTGGTATTATGACTACCATCACAACCATCATCATCACCACTATAACCATTGTATTTTCTTGTAGAACACAACTATGGCGAGGCACAATCACACTTCCTGCATGCAAATAATGGACAGCAATGTGCAACAATGTTGGTCGAGTATGCTGTAACCTGTGGATACCCTGGTGAAGCAGACCTATTTGTTGCACAAGCTGTTTTACAGTAAGTTGTGTGTTGTATTGTGTAGAAGTGTGTTTTAATGTTGTTTCTGGTTATCATACAAGCTTTAGATAATTCATTTTTTTCAAGGTTTCTGTGTTTGAAAAGATCATCAGCAGCTCATTGTGTATTTGTGCAGTACACAGACCATCACCCAGACTTCTCAGGACAAGGACCACCATTTGAGAAACCTCTGCTGAATTTTCTATGGATTTTGTTGATTATTATTGACAAGTAACATTATTTTTATCCAAACTAATTTTATTTAATTTTGCCAATATTTTATTCAAATATCACCTTCTATTTTAGAAAAGGTACCATAAATCAATTCACAGTACTATGTGAGAAATACCATCCCTCGCTAAACAGAGATCCAAATTATCTTTCGGTAAGAATGCTTATCAATCTGTCAATTTGAACTTATTCATACTTTGTAATGCCTGTATAAATAATTTAGTAATAGCAATATTGTATATTTCTCATGTTGGATATTTTTCCTTTTTCCCCAGTATTTAGACAAGATAGGACAACTATTTTTTGGACTAACACCAAAGCCAAAAGAACCATCAATGAACAACTTTTTTGGTAAGTGACAAGAGTGTGCATTGGCCTGTTGAATAATTCATTGGAATATACCAACATTTCTCTTCTCCACTTCAGGAGACCTTCTTCAAAGCCTAACATCCGAGGCTGAGCAACCAACAACATCAAGTGTCGATTTGAACACAGAAGATCTGGATTGAATGAGATCAGCATGATCCGAATAGACCATAGACGTGCTTACATCACATAATTTTCATACAATGAATTTTACCCAAAGTATCCCACAATGCAGAAGTCCTCTGTATTAAATTGTGTGACATAAGCACTTCTAAGATCTATTACCAAGAGAACCATTAAACACCTTCCAGGTTTCGAGTGTGGCATGAAAGATTACTTAATTCTCCCTGGTCGGGACCAGGCAACACCTCCAAAATAACATTGAAGATAAATGACATAGGCCAGTGTATGAACAGTAAAAGAACCACAAACGGTTCTTATGTAATGTTATATAGTATGTAAAGAATTGTAATGAATGTGTTTCTGAAAAAAATAAATTAAATTAACAAGCTTTTAATGCATTTTATATGAACTGGGTTTTGAGTTGGAATACAGTGGCAATTTTGACAAGATAATGAAATTCTGAATTGGGGCTAGAAAATATGCTCCCTATGACCAAGTTGAGAAAGAGTGCTTATTTATAACTTTGCCGGCATAAAATTACAATAACAAAACAGAGTGGCCAGGTCACCACAACAGCTTATTGCAAATTACTGCAGGCCCAAAGTCTCCATATTGTTTGGCTCAATTGCCAATACAACAGTACAAATAACAACAGACAAACATGATTTCAAGAAGGCTTTAATTTGCTCATTTTATTCAATCTACATTTTGTCAAGTTTAGAATCCCTTTCCAGCAGGTGCAGGGGGTTGTTCTGGCTGACTGGCAGGTGCTGGCTTTGGCAGAACAGGTTTGGCCAGGAAATCTGTGAACTCTTGGTACGGCACTTTTGTGAACTTGTTTTCACCCCACAGATCCGGAGTCAAATACTCGTATGTCTTTGCGATGGCCTGAAACGTTGCTTTCGCTACAAAGAATATGGGGATAGTCAGGAAATGATGGCAATTTGTTTAATTTGATCACACAAGTGGTGTTTATGGGATTTGTGAGGGCCACTTCACTCTAGATACTTACCAAAATTTCCTAATGTTGCTGTAGCACCTCTAGCAGAGGTATAACAATCATCAATTCCTGCCATCTGAAGTAATTTCTTAGGCACAGGTGCAGAAACAATGCCGGTACCACGTGGAGCTGGAATCAATCTCACACGTACAGAACCACACTTGCCTGTCACCTAGGAAGTATAATGCAAGTCAATAATAATTATAAACTTCTCTAATGTTGACCACAATTCGCAGCAATTTAGCACTGAAACTCTCAGAAATATTTTCTCTTGCGTCGTCACTGACAATCAGAAGCAGAACTGGCAGAGAATAGTTTCATCATTGAAGCACTTTTTAAAACCTACTAACCATCAACTTTAGCGTTCTAATGAAACTTGTCACCAAAAACCTGGTACCTACTAGAAACACTCACCTTACATGGTACCGTATGTGGTTTACCAATCTTGTTACCCCAGTAACCTCGTCGTACTGGAATAACCGACAACTTGGCCAAAATAATGGCACCTCTGATTGCAGTGGCCACTTCTTTTGAGCACTTGACGCCAAGACCTACATGTCCGTTGTGATCACCAATAGCAACAAATGCTTTGAAACGAGTTCTCTGTCCAGCCCTGGTCTGTTTCTGGACAGGCATGATCTTCAAAACCTCGTCCTTCAATGCCGCACCAAGGAAGAAATCAATAATTTCAAATTCCTAGAAAAATTGAAACTTTTTCTTAGAAAGGAAAACATTTACAAGGTTAAAAATCAAAGAGGCAAATATGTCATTCAAGTATATCAAAATTATAATTTCTCCAATACAAAGCACAACTTATTCAATAAAAGCACAATCTATCAAAATTTAAATATAGTCTACCCTGAGCACATACTTTAATGGGCAATGAGAACAGATAGATCTGCTCCAATGATTTGATTTTCAGTTCTTTCACCAAACGACCCAATTTAGTAACTGGCACCCACTAGTGAAGGCACAACATAGAAAAATTTACATTTTAACAATAACATTTTAAATACAGCAATTTTTTACCATATCATCCAAACCCAAATTTAAGGGGTCATTCCAGAAAATACCCATAATGATAACTCCCCCACATGTGGAGGATATTGAAGTTAATCCCCCTTTAGATGCCACAATACACTTACTATTGCAGTAAGTAAGCAATAAGACAGCTGCAGCACGGCTCCCAGCAATGTGCGAGACCAAATTTTTATCCCCTCAGCAGACACTTCCTCCTTGATGGGGTGGGGAGTGGGGGTGAATTTGGATTTTTTCTGGAACAACCCAATGCTTAGATACCAACACCAATCATAGTTCAATGCATAATATTAATCTAAATCTGAATTCTAAACCTAAAAAGTTCACTTATTACCCACCTCTTTATCATCAGGTTTACCCCTGCCTCTACCTCGGCCACGTCCTCGCCCGCGTCCTCTACCACCTCGACCCCCTCGGCCAAAACCTCCACGGCCAAATCCACCTCGTCCACCACCGGCTGGTCCTGCGTCCGCCATTGCTGAAACAAAAGAAGAGTATGAGATGGGGAGTACAGTGCAGGGCTTCCAAATAAAATATATTTTGAATTTTGTGTTTTTCACAAAACTAATATGAAAGTAAACACAACATGTGTTGAACGTATATTTATATATAATATACATAAATATGGCTGAGTCCCCCATGAAAACGGTAAATAACCGAGTAAATTAACCTCTCTATAGATTGTTCATTTCGTTCTAAATTGTAACACCGTTGCAGTATTTTAAGCCGGTTATTTTTACCGTTTTAATATCGTAAACGTTTTAAAAATATACCAGAACGAAAGAAATGTATCATATCAATCTAGATTTACAATAATAAAACAAAAATAGTTGGTGAAAGAGCAGGATTAAAAGAGATTTTAAAATATTTTACTCACATGATGGTTCTTTCAAAACAGCGAGAATTGAAAAAGAAACTTGCGAGCGCGCAAAGCTTTACGGGTATCTCCACCCAGTCCTTTTCTCACAACGCGCGCTTCCGTGGCTCTGGGGACACCTTATGTACCAGTCCTCCATTTTGAAAGTAGCGGTGCATGGCTCTGGTGAAACATTTATGAGATTTAATTTTTTTTATTAAAAAGTATTTTATAACTGCATGTTTCATTCCAAAACACTCTCCTTTATAAATAGAACTATACACTATACTTTAAAAATAATATATACAAAAATATACAATATATACGGATGTCCAAGCTTGAAGACAAAAAATAAGACAGAGGCATCAAATGCATTGTGCACACGCATTGACAAGAGCAGAATAAAGTGAGTCAATTAGTCATCCAACTGACAGAGTAGTGCCACTCCTCTGTTGATCCAATGTCGCTCGGCCTCGTTAGAAGGCAGTTGTACAAACATGACAAAGTTGGTGGAATGCCCTGTGGTGGACAGGGTACCCCGACGGCCACTTGTTTTATAGACTGGGGCTAGGTACGTTGCTTTGGTTTTGAATTTTGATTTTTCTCCTGGTTTCACCCACATCTGAAGAACTAAAGTTAAGGACTTTAGGATTTCACATGAATGTAACCAGGTGGTGAATGGTCAATTGATATTGCCCGCCTTTCTCTGGTGCCCGCCACGAATGTAACCCCTCAAAAGCCGATTTAGACTACACAACTTTTGTCCAAAACTGTCGCATGCAACCTGCTTACAACTTGAGTTGTACTGTGTAAATCACAACATACAACTCGCCTACGTTGTCGTGAGTTGTGTGTTTGATTTACACAGTACAACTCAAGTTGTAAGCAGGTTGCATGCGATAGTTTTAGGCAAAAGTTGTGTGGTGTAAATGGGCCTTCAAAAACATATCACATTCATGATCTGTAAGTTTCAACACTCCAATCCAGCGTCTTCATTGGGGAAGACGTCGCCCAAGAATACTCGCGTGTCACTCCTCGAGCGACTTTATGAAGTTTCTCAAGTAACATGAATTGAAAAGGATACAATTGGCAATGTATCAAAAAGTATTTTAGGAAAAGATTCTCCCAAACTCATCTGCTGTCGATCCCATCTTGCACCTTCAATGAACAAACCCTGCACAAAACAAGAGGAAGAATGAATCAGAAACACTACGAGAATATTGACGAACTCTGAAGTGGTCAATGTGACGATGCCACACAATGAGTGTAAGCTTAAATGTATTCACATTAATGGAAGAACACAGTACACCCTTTCGATAATTACGTCACAACTACACTGTTTTCAACTTAGGACCATCTTAATTGGAAAGGATTTCAAGTTTTTTTTCTCATGGGCTATGCACAGAGAAGCAAAGCATCCTTCTTCAACACATGCATTCTCTGTGCATAGCCCATGATAAAAAAAACTAAGTTGGAAACAGTGTAGTTGTGACGTAATTATCGAAAGGGTGTATTGGTAGATATTTCCATTACAACAGGCATGATATAGTGATATAATCTTGAATAATATGTGCCAGTGTAGGTAGTCGCATCAACAATAAGAAAGCTTTGGATTGATAGGGACGCTACTATACCTGACCAACAAACACAAGGAGAACTTCGACGTTTCGAGCGAAGGCCCTTCGTCGGGAGGTTAGGGACTGGTCATAATTTAGCAGGAGGGGTGGGGAGGTGGAAACAGTGGGGGGTCACATATTTTCTAGCCAGGAAAAAGGGGGATTCATAAAATATTAGACAGTTTAGATACTTCTCACATTTTGTTTGAGTTGCATTGAAAAAAATTGATTCTTTAAACTTAAAATGAAAAGTTATGTAAATCACTGTGTTCAATTAAATTTAATCACATTCAATGTTCTTCAAGAGATCGGCGAGTCAACGTCAGAGGACATTAGCTAGGCTTTATATATGACTATGTGTTGGTATAATATAAATTTTTGTACTTAATTTAAAGCGCAAATTATTAGAAAATTTATTGAAAATTTATTAAATGCGGAGTTTAGTAGTAGGTAGGTACATTTTTACTGACACGAGCAAAAGGGGGCATTATTTTTCCAGGTTATGGCAAAGCAGGGTGACAATATATTATTCCCTAAAATTTTGAATTACACCTCCACACCCCCTCTCCTGCTAAATTATGACCAGTCCCTTAGTAGCCTAGGGCCTTCGCTCGAAAAGTTCTCCTTGTGGTTTTCAGGTAGTTGTATCAACCCAAAGCTTTCTTATCTACACCATAGATATCTTATATACACTAGATAGTGCATCTAATTATTCGGCAATTCAAAAATTGAAGCTGTGATTGCAGACTCAGGATATTCCCATGAAATGAGAAGACTCGTATGTTTTCTATTTCTTAAACAGGGAACTTAAACATTAAGTTAAACCTATTCCAAATACATTTTCAAACTATTCAAATGATGAAACTTATTGTTGTTTTTTAAGCGTTTATTAGCGAGTGGGAAACTCCAACATAGCCGCCATCTATTCAAATGGGGATAACCGCTGGAATATTCTTGGCTTCAATTTTACTAAGAGAGATGCGCTATCTAGTGTATATAAGATATCTATGATCTACATTGGCAAAGAGCGTTCATGCATATAATGAACAACTTGGACACTCTAAAAAACTGCTTTTTTCTCTTAGAGTTGACCGCCGTGTGTTTCACTGTCTCACTTGATGAAAACCTCGGTATATATAACTTTTCTTACCCTGACATAAACTCCATCTTCAGGTTTACTATCCATATCTGTCTCTTGCGTCATCACTTCAAACTCAAAGCCGACGAAGTCGATGGGGATTGTGTATTTTCGAGCGAAATTTTGACGGGCCCCTGAACGATTAGAAATCTAAGTTTGTATACTGAATACAGCCGGCAAGTAGAACACAACCTGTACAGTCTTGGTATGTCAAAGCATCAAACATACCTGTGAGGAAAGATTGTGTAAAGTAAAACCCAGAAATCCAAAAGACGTTCGGTGTGCCTTCATCTATCCATTTTTGAAAGAATGCCAACCTGCAGAAAATAATCAGATATGATCATGTAATTCTCACTGGTCTTATTCAAACTAGAGACAGATAATTCACCTGTCTGAGACGAATTTGGACAAAGAAAAGGTAGTTCACCAGATCATTTACCTATGTCTATATACATGCTAGTTGGCGGAACACACATCAAAATGAACTATAAGAGTAGTTCATTGTCATGTATTATGGGCTTGTGTGAATATAGTATGAATAAATACAGCATTCGATGAATTATCAGGAAAATATCAGTCATGATTTGTTGTCAGACCTATTGCCAGTATTGATCGTGTTATCCTAGCTAGTTGGTCTAAGAAGGATAATCCGTCAGAAGACTACACAAAACATCAACAAACCTTTCCAGTAGATCAGCGACGTAACTGCCAAGAGGTTTTAACGATGGATACGATTTCGCAGCCCAGACAGCTGGAACTCTTCCAACCAACATATTATTGAACACATCTTCTAATTCAGAGGACATCACTACCAAACCCTAGTACAGACATTGTAAAGACGTTAGGGTATCTTGTTAACTTAGCATGGTCTTCCACGATCATGCCATGATTATGATAGAATCTTGGGAAGATTTTGATAAGATCTTGCAATAGGACCTTGGCAAGATTTTGATAAGATCTTGGCAAGATCATGGTGGGATTTTGACATGATTACAATAGAATCTTGGCAAGATTTTGATAAGATCTTGGCAAGATCATGGTGGGATCTTGACATGATTACAATAGAATCTTGGCAAGATTTTGATAAGATCTTGGCAAGATCATGGTGGGATCTTGACATGATTACAATAGAATCTTGGCAAGATTTTGATAAGATCTTGGCAAGATCATGGTGGGATTTTGACATGATTACAATAGAATCTTGGCAAGATTTTGATAAGATCTTGGCAAGATCATGGTGGGATCTTGACATGATTACAATAGAATCTTGGCAAGATTTTGATAAGATCTTGGCAAGATCATGGTGGGATCTTGACATGATTACAATAGAATCTTGGCAAGATTTTGATAAGATCTTGGCAAGATCATGGTGGGATTTTGACATGATTACAATAGAATCTTGGCAAGATTTTGATAAGATCTTGGCAAGATCATGGTGGGATCTTGACATGATTACAATAGGACCTTGGCAAGATTTTGATAAGATTTTGGCAAGATCATGGTGGGATCTTGACATGATTACAATAGAATCTTGGCAAGATCTTGATAAGATTTTGGCAAGATCATGGTGGGATCTTGACATGATTACAATAGAATCTTGGCAAGATTTTGATAAGATCTTGGCAAGATCATGGTGGGATCTTGACATGATTACAATAGGATTTTGGGAAGATTTTGATACGATCTTGACAAAATCATGGTGGGATCATGATTACAATAGAATCTTGGCAAGCTTTTGGCAAGATCATGGTGAAATAATCTTCATATGTCCAGAGATTGAACCTTCGACTCGTTCATGTTTGAGCTGCTTCGCAATTCAGCACTCAATTACTGCAAGGAAAGGCTATAAGCACCTGTAACGTCAGATGGCAACATTACCTTAATAGCTTTCTGTAAGTTGATTAATGTAGCACGAACGACATCTGTAAGTCTGTTAAATCTGATAAGTTCCTGACGTAAGACCGTGTTCATAGACTCCGTGTAGAGGACTGGGTACTTCTCCATGACAACATCCAGTTGAAATCTTGGCGGGAATTTTGATAAGATATCCGCAGCTAGTTCTTCCATGATCTCTCCAGATGATTTCCCACCACCCCCTGACTGGCGCGGTAACGTCAACAGGATACACTCAAATAGCTAGATAAAATACGGGAGGGATAAGTTCCTCGTATGATGATGATAAATATAATGAATTATTAATGAATTGCATGAGTGATCGTACCTCGTTGGTCTCTTTCTGATCTTTAGTGATATCAGCATTCTCATGAAGACCGAACACTTCAGGATGTGGGTTGAGAGGCAAAGATCTCACATATTCTAAATATGTCTCGTACGGACCATGAGTCGGGCAGAAGTACGTACCACTTTGAGAAAACCTAGAAATGAGAATTAGAAAACATTCTGATCACTGGACTATAGCTGGATGGCATACAGAGCGTTTGCATATGACGTCATAGCCGCCATGTTGGTGTTCCAATTCAAAAGAATTTTAATTATACTCTTTTGTCTGGCATCAACTATTTCGCTGACCTCAGAATGACATTTCGTCAAAACTTTTTCCTTCAAGATTGGTATTGGTTTAGAAACAAATTTGGAGTAGGGTTAGGTTAGGGTTAGGTTACGGATTAGGTTAGGGTTAGTGTTTGGAGTAGGGTTAGTGTTAGTGTTAGTAAAACCATTGCTTTGTTACGTTTTGTCACTCTGAGGCCAGCGAAATAATCCCTTCCCTTTTGTCTGGAACACCAACATGGCCGCCATGGCTTTTGTTGAGTTGGTCGCTGGGGAATGAGCGCAAACGCTCTATTGTTAGACGAGTACTAAGTATTTACAACATTCGGATATACACACTCTCCCGAATTTAAATAAATGGCTTGTGAAATGTCTTGATGAGAACATTCGTATTCTTCAACAATTTACTGTAAAATAAATGGTGAGAAAATTGAACTTAAAGTTTGTGTAAATCAGCATGATTTTGTATCAGAAATACAAACTCCTTCGCGGTCATTTCTTTTGTGTTTTCGTCATGAATTATTAATTCACAAGTGTTTTGTAAAGGTCCTATAATAACGAAAGAAAAACTCTAATACAAAATACTAACCAGTGAAGGTCGTTCTCGACAATATCTCCACAAACAAATATTGACAGCAAGCTAAGCAGCAAACGTCGATCTTTATCATCAGTCACTCTCCCCCCGTAATTACACTCACCAAACAGATAAACAAGAGCGTCCAAGGGGGGTTGTTCGTAATCATTCAAGAACATCTGTGGAAGAATAATGTACACATAGAAATTGTTTGGTTTAAAATGTAAGCATTACGGGGCAACTTGGTGCAACTTGATGTTTGTGATGTTACTCTGAGTGTATATCCACACCGCGCAAGCTTGAAAAATATGCACTCAGAGTAAACATCACAAGCATCATATTCACCTGAGTACATAAAACCAACACGGAAAAAAGTCTTGGTGCAACTTGATGTTTGTGATGTTACTCTGAGTGTATATCCACACCGCGCAAGCTTGAAAAATATGCACTCAGAGTAAACATCACAAGCATCATATTCACCTGAGTACATAAAACCAACACGGAAAAAAGTCTTGGTGCAACTTGATGTTTGTGATGTTACTCTGAGTGTATATCCACACCGCGCAAGCTTGAAAAATATGCACTCAGAGTAAACATCACAAGCATCATATTCACCTGAGTACATAAAACCAACACGGAAAAAAGTCTTGGTGCAACTTGATGTTTGTGATGTTACTCTGAGTGTATATCCACACCGCGCAAGCTTGAAAAATATGCACTCAGAGTAAACATCACAAGCATCATATTCACCTGAGTACATAAAACCAACACGGAAAAAAGTCTTGGTGCAACTTGATGTTTGTGATGTTACTCTGAGTGTATATCCACACCGCGCAAGCTTGAAAAATATGCACTCAGAGTAAACATCACAAGCATCATATTCACCTGAGTACATAAAACCAACACGGAAAAAAGTCTTGGTGCAACTTGATGTTTGTGATGTTACTCTGAGTGTATATCCACACCGCGCAAGCTTGAAAAATATGCACTCAGAGTAAACATCACAAGCATCATATTCACCTGAGTACATAAAACCAACACGGAAAAAAGTCTTGGTGCAACTT